TTGTTATAGCAAATATACGTTTGCTTCATCGGCAATCTCACCAAAGAATGTGATATGGCAAAAGGTCTGGCCTTCTTTGAAATTCACATCTGCCTTGTGACTTAAGGGCGCTCGTGGCAATGTGGCCGAGTGGTTAACGTGTCAATCTCACATTCTGCACTATCACGGTTAGACTCCTGCTGGGGGTGTTTATAAGACCGATGCGAGGTCGAAACTGCAGTCCTGTATAATAACAACTTTTGGGAAAGTAAGGCTATGTGAAATTCAATGGAAACGTCAGCTCATTGCAAAAAAATTCTACTACCAGTCCTTCATCATCTTAAACAAAATTGGATGAATACATCTCATATTACTGATTTATTAGTAGTCTCGAAACTCTACTTGTTTTTATTCTATCCGACTTATCATTTCATATGAAAATTTGGGTTTGGAAGGATTCTATAATTGGTCTCACCAGAAACTTAGGAGAGATTGCTGATTGTAATCCTACCCGCTTCTTGATATTTGGTTAATTTTGTCAAACAAATGAATTCAGACTTTGTGTGATAGATTACAGTTCGTCACGGATGGATCAGGTTCTCTGGATGCTGCGCCGATGGTTCTTCGCTCATATAAACCTTCACATCCATCAAGGCAATTCTTCTTAGAACTGCGATGAGATCAATTTACGAATCCCTTATGGTTACATTTTCGTAGGAAAAGTGGAATAAAGTCTTCCATTTTTGTTGTAATTCTCTTTTTCCCTCGCTTCTTTAGCTTTATAATAGTAAAACTACTTAAAAAAACAGTATGCTACATTCGCCTGCTGCTTCGGGGACTTGGTTGGGGTGCTCTCATGGCTTCGACTCCTCATTTACTTCGAGTTCGTTCTTTCCTGGGCATCGCCAGCCCCTTCGGCAGGATTATGGATCCATTGGCATATGCGAACTAACCGTCATTGTTGTTTGACTAATGCCATCTTGTTAGCGTCGAGCCGATAGCCTTTTGGGATCGGTTAATCGAGTTAAGTCCGAATTTCTTTGAAAGTACCAGCGATACTTAAGCAAGGCTGTAACTCCAACCATGCAGTGACATTCACTGTGAAATGTAAGACTTACATCAACTCTATCTTAGTTCGCCTTGTTAGTTGAAATTCGCTGACAATGGGTCCTTTGTCCTTTTGACACTATTGGTATCTTTTTTTTCGAAGTTCTCCAACTATAATGACTTCTTTTTTCCAACAGCTGGAATTTTGGATCCCAGTTCCTCGTCCCTTCTAAACAATGCTCGCAACGCTTTCCTTAACCTGGCACTGCCTCTTGTTCTCGTCAGTCAACCAGGCAACTGCCCTCGGGCTCCTCTGCCTAATGGCCTTGAGGTGAGCCTGCTTTGGGACCGCTGGACAGTTGTGCAGCAATCGCGGGTCGGCATGCCGGCTGCAACGCTAGCCGACTTTTTGGAAGCCTTCAAGGTTAGCCTCTCGACTATATTTGTGCCTTTTTTCTCCTCTAAACAATCCTTCCTGCATCCACCCTAAACTATTCTGTTTGTCACTTTACAAGCTAATTTACCTGCATTTTTGCCATCATCCTGTCATCTAATGTACAGACTACTACTTGCTGAACAGTTACAACTTTCATGAATCTTTCATAGCTGTTGCCTGTTCAGCTAAGGCCTTCGTCTGTTTTATAAGGGTATTTTTTGATCTGAGAAGATATTCTATAGTTTTATTGCATTTGACCCCTTGGCACCCACTTTGATGCATTGTTGGAAAATAAAGACGAAGGTAGAATGAAAGAATGCAATCCAACACTTTGAGTTTTACCCCTACCTCAACTCTCTACCTTTCTACTTTTATGTGTATTTATCATATAGACTTTCCGAAACTATTGTCAGCACCCATTTACATCGATTCATTGTTAGTATGAACAGCACTGCGATACTAATTGATATTCATTCCCATAGGAGAGAGATGTCTCTCTTTCCATATCTCCACCACCACTGAGGTGTGGAATTAACACGATTACACTATACAAAAAGTAATTTATTTCAAGTAAATCTCTATGTATCTTTAGTCGAAGATATGAAGACCAGGATGGTGTGGCCTTGACCGCGAGATTTTCTCGGTGTACATGCCGCACAGCGATAAGGGAATCTGCAGCGTCAAGTTAGGTTGCCACGAGAAACGAGAATCCAAACTTTAGGGGCTTGCTCAGTAAGGCTGGTGTGTACGTGCTATTAAAGGCCTGAGGCAGAGTGTAGAACAACGCCTCGAGTAGCACTAATATCGTGGCAACGATGGAGTAGAATTACTGAAACAGGTAGATAAGAGAAGGATCCTACGGAGCAAGAGGGGACTGATAGGACCCGAAGGATTGCGGATTAAACCACAGCCTTGGATCAACACTCCCGGCAGAGTGGAAGGGATGTGGAAACCAACGGGGAGTGTGAATAGGTTTCACATAGGTTTAGATAAACAAGTAAGAAATTGTGATATTGAAGGGGTGATACGAGGATATAAGATAGGTGAATAGCCCAGGACAGAATGAGAGATACCACAATTGTTTAGCAGACAAGTGATCAAAGGATCGGCTTGACTTGTCTTTAACAAGTTGTAGTGTGGTGCTAAGAATGACAAGACTCACTGACGATGCCGGCAAAATGTCTGGTAATGTACCAAGTTGCGAAAACAAGGTCAAGCAACTTCTCTGTTTATCTGTGTTGAACTGATTTTACTTAATGTAAAAGTGTGTGATAAATATCCGCCTGGGTTGATATACCACAATGTGGCTGATAAATTGTTTCGGTTTTCTGTAGTATAATATTGCCGTGACATTTATGCCCTCGAGAAACTCTCCTTTGGTTCTAGTGGGACTTGCTTGACATTTTATTCATGCAACATGGCAGATGTCATTAAGATTGAGTCCTAGTCTTTTAACTAATTTAAGTCAACGGGTCTATAAAATTAACCAGTTAATTCCTACATGTCACAAATTTTTCAACAAACATTTAGAGGTATAAAATAATTTTTTCAATCCACTTCATTGTCCACCTCCGTATGATCATACAGATAAAATGCACATCCACGCGTCTTATCCTCATGTATGTTTATACAAGTACGAAACAAGCAGTGATTGTTCCGACCACTTGGAACGTGACATTGTTGCTGGGCGTTAAATTTTATTGGCACTTCTTGACTTAGCATGGCTCAGAATGTTTGATCACATGATTCCCTAGGAGCCTGATCCGGACATGAGTCACTTCTAAACCGAATAAGGTTTCACATTTTTTCTTCGCCAATTTCTCACTCATTTTTCCGTATTCTTAGTGAAAAGACATGAGGGCATATTTATGACATTAAAAGCCCTAGGGATCTTTGTTTTGTCCTACGTAGTCTCCTTAAAATGTTATTTTATATTTAGCTATAGATATTTTGTATCAGACATATAGGATAATTGTTATCAAGTTATCACTTTTCAAGTCATTTAAGCTCCTTATATAAATTATTTCCATTTGCAAACCTCATATTCCTAATAATCATAGAATTTAAAGCGCTATTCTTTCTTTCCTGTAAACATCCAAGTTATAAACTATTGTTCCTTTATACTTCCATTATGAAGTTAATACCATTGTTACGTTAGTTAATCAAACATAGAAAAATAATTACAATTATTCTCCCATTCCTCCAGATAATAAACATTTTGAAGTTAATAGCTCTTCCAATTATACAACTCTTCGTTTTACCATCCTGCAAACTTTCAAGAAAGAAAGTGACTTATTGAGGAAATGAAGTGTCAAAACAAGACATAAAAGAACATTAACGCTTTCCTCGATTGTGCCTTCTTTTAGAGAATCTTCCAACGCC